CTTTGCTTTGCTGTGCATTGCTTTGCTTTCCTCTGCTCTGCTTTGCTTTGTTTTGCTTTGCTCTGCTTTGCTTTGCTTTGCCTTGCTTTGATTTTCCATTGTTTGCTTTGCTTTGCTTTGCGTTGATCCGCTCTGCTCACTGGGACAATATTGGCAAATCTCGACACATCGACGAAATCGCGTCCCAACGTGAAGAGCAAGACCTTTACATTTTTGGGGTTGGGTTTTTTTCCCTACTTAGGCTCCTGCCTAAAAAGTTCTTACTCTGTTTCCTTCAAGGGGCCGGGCAGTGAAAATCGCCCCAGGTAATTTGCTTCGCTTTTCTTTGATTTGATTTGCTTTGCGTTGCTTTGCTTAGCTGTGATTTGCTTTGCTTTGCTTTGCTTTGCCTTGCTGTGCGCTGCTTTGCTTTGCTCTGCGTTGCTTTGGTTTGCTTTGCTTGTGCTTTGATGTGCTTTGCTTTGCTTTGCTTTGCGTTACTGTGATTGCTTTGCTTTGCGTTGTTTTGCTTTGCTTTGCTTTGCTTTGCGTTGGTTTGCTTTCCTTCGGCTTGCTTTGCTTTGCGTTTCTTTGCTTTGCGTTGATTTGCTTTGCTTTGATGTGATTTGCTTTGCTTTGCTGTGCTTTGCTTTGCTTTGCTTTGCTTTGCGTTGCGTTGCTTTGCGTTGATTTGCTCTGCTTTGCGTTGCTTTACTTTGCTTTGCTTTGCTTTGCTTTGCTGTGCGTTGCTGTGCTTCGCTTTGCTTTGCTTTGCTTTGCTTTGCTGTGCTCTGCTTTGCATTGCTTTGCTTTGCGTTTCTTTGCTTTGCTTCGCTTAGCGTAGCTTCGCTCATGCTGCTTTCCTAGAGGCTCCAACTCCTAGGTAGGGTCGCACTGGCATAATATTTGCAAACCTCGACACATCGACGAAGTCGCTTCCCAACGTGACGAGCGAGACCTTTGCATTTTTGGGATTAGGTTTTTCTCCCTACCTAGGCTTCTGCCTAACAACGAATGTGCGCGGCGCTACGGCGAGAGCCACATTTTGCAAATCACCCTCCCTCAATCCGTGAAGCTCTTGAATTTTTTTGTTGCAGCGAATGTGCGCGGCGCTACGGCGAGAGCCACATTTTGAAAACCACCCGCCCTCAATCAGTGAAGCTCTGGCATTTTTTTGCAACGAATGTGCGCGGCGCTTAGGCGAGAGCTACATTTTTCGAACAACGACCCGCCCGCAATCCGTAGCTCCTTGCCACAGCTGAGTACACATGAGCTATGTGTATAGATCCCTCACCCGAGGGCCTGACCAGCAGGGGCGAGGGAGGGGACCCCCTCCTGGCCTGGCATTCCCACCCTGGGAGAACTCTGTTCTTGGGACCCCCCACTCGGCAATTCCTCGCCCAGAACCTACCCACGCCCCCCACTTGGACCCCCTCCTGGCCTGGCATTCCCACCCTGAACCCTCTGCTCTTGGGCCACCCGACACTTTCTCGCCCGAAACCGCTCCGCCGTCGACCTGGTCCGACACCCCCACCCCGCCCTGGGACCTCTGTTCTTGGGCCACCCCACCCGACAATTTCTCGCCCGAAACTGCCCCGCCGTCGACCTGGTCCGACACTCCCACCCCGCCCTGGGACCTCTGCTCTTGGGCCACCCCGCCCGACAATTTCTCGCCCGAAACCGCCCCGCCGTCGACCTGGTTCGACCCCTCCACCCCGCCCTGGGACCTCTGTTCTTGGGCCACCCCACCCGACAATTTCTCGCCCGAAACCGCCCCGCCGTCGACCTGGTCCGACACCCCCACCGCGCCTTGAAACCTCTGTTCTTGGGCCACCCCACCCGACAATTTCTCGCCCCAAGCCGCCCCGCTGTCGACCTGGCCCGACACCCCCACCCCGCCCTGGGACCTGTGTTTTTTGGCCACTCCACCTGACAATTTCTCGCCCGAAACCGCCCCGCCGTCGACCTGGTCCCACACCCCCACCCCGCCCTGGGATCACTGTTCTTGGGCCGCCCACCCGACACTTTCTCGCCCGAAACTGTCCCGCCGTCGCCCTGGTCCGACACCCCCACCTCGCCCTGGGACCTCTGTTCTTGGCCCACCCCACCCGACAATTTCTCTCCCGAAACCGCCCCGCCATCGACCTGGTCCGACACCCCCACCCCGCCCTGGGACCTGTGCTCTTGGGCCACCCCACCCGACAACTTCTCGCCCGAAGCCGCCCCGCCGTCGACCTGGTCAGACATTCCCACCCCAGTCTGGGAAACCTGTTCTTGGGCCACCCCGCCCCACCATTTCTCGTCCGAAGCCGCCCCGCCGTCGACCTTGTCCGACACCCTCACCCCGGCCAGGGACCGCTGTTCTTGGGCCACCCCACCCGATAATTTCTCGCCCCAAACCGCCCCGCTGTCGACCTGGCCCGACACCCCACCCCGTTCTGGGATCTCTTTTCTCGGGCCACCACACCCGACAATTTCTCGTCCGAAACCTCCTCCGCCGTCGACCAGATCCGAGACCCCCAGCCCGCCCTGAGACCTCTGTCCTTGGGCCACCCCACCCGACAATTTCTCGCCCGAAACCGCCTCGCCGTCGACTTGGTCCGACCCCCCCCCCCGCCCCCCGCCCTGGGACCACTGTTCTTGGGCCACCCCACTCGACAATTTCTCGCCCGAAACCGCCCCGCCGTCGACCTGGTCCGACACCCCCACCCCGCCCTGGGACCTTTGTTCTTGGGCCACCCCACCAGATAATTTCTCGCCCGAAACTGTTCCGCCGTCGACCTGGTCCGACACCCCCACCCCGCCCTGGGACCTCTGTTCGTGAGCCGCCCCACCCGACAATTTCTCGCCCGAAGCCGCCTCGCCGTCGACTTGGCGCGACACCCCCACCCCGCCCTGGGATCCTGTTATTGAACCACCCCAACCGTCAATTCCTCGCCCGAAACCGCCCCGCCGTCGACCTGGAACCTCTGTTCTTGGGCCACCCCACCTGACAGCTTCTCGCCCGAAACCGCCCCGCCGTCGACCTGGTCCGACACCCCCACCTCGCCCTCGGACCTCTGTTCATGGGCCACCCCGCCCGACAATTTCTCTCCCGAAACCGCCCCGCCGTCGACCTGGTCCGACACCCTTCACCCCGCCCTGGGACCTCTGTTCTTGAGCCGCCCCACCCGACAATTTCTCGCCCGAAACCGCCCCGCCGTCGACCTGGTCCGACACCCCCACCCCGCTCTGGGACCTCTGTTCTGGAGCCACCCCAACCGTCAATTTCTCGCCTGAAGCCGGCCCGCTGTCGACCTGGTCCGACACCCCCACCTCGCCCTGGGACCTTTGTTCTTGGGCCACCCCACCTGACAATTTCTCGCCCGAAACCGACCCGCCGTACCTGGTCCGACACCCCCACGTCGCCCTGGGACCTCTGCTCTTGGCCACCCCACCCTATGCTATGCTGCGCTATGCTATGCTATGCTTTGCTATGCTGTGCTGCGCTATGCTGTGCTACGCTCTGCTATGCTATGCTGCGCTGTGCTATGCTAAAGCTCGGCGAAACTAAGATGAAGGTAAGCTAAGCTACGATAAACCTGAGCTGAGATGGAACTAAGCTAAGCTAAGATGAAATAAGCTAAGCTAAGATGAGATAAGCAACGCTAACCTAAGGGGACGTCACTGGGGGAACCACGGGGCGGATGCCGGGGAAACCGCCCGGGGCGATTTACACTGCCCGGCCCTTGAAGAGAACAGGGTAAGAACCCTTCTAGGCAGAGCCTAGGTAGGGAATACCTTCATTATCCAACCTGACAGGGTCAGGAAATGTCCGCCCCGACGTGCTGCGAGGATGTTTCAGGCGATATTGGAGAGGCCACCTCCGGTCAGGGCGTCTCCAAATCCACAGTTGCGAGAGTGGTTCAGGCTAAACTGGCCGGTCAACGTGTTGCGTGGCCTCTCGGGGCATCTCCGACCTCAGAAGCGCGAGGGACTCTCGGGCGAAACACACAGGACCACATCAGGACAGGGCATGTGGGAGCTGAGCGTTGCAAGTTGCCAGGATGTCGCAGGTCAAACTGGCCTGACAACCTGTTGCGTGGCATCTCGAAGTTCGGATCATCATCATCAGCAGCACCATCATCAGCATCACCATCAACACCATCAACACCATCATCACCATCATCCTCATCATCATCAGCATCATCATCATGCTAATAATAATAATAATCCTTATCATAATCATCACCATCATCATGACCACCACTACAGCTACCACCACCACCATCATCAGCATCAGGAGCATCATCATCATCAGCATCAGCATCAGTATCATCATCATCATCATCCACCATCACCATCACCATCATAATCACCATCATCACCAGCATCATCACCATCATGTTTTTCTTCATCATCCCCATCATCATCATCATCATCATCATCATCATGATCATCATCATAATCATCATCATCATAATCAGCATCACCATCACCATCACCATCATCAGCATCATCAGCATCATCATCGTCGTCGACGCCGTCGTCGTCGGTAGCGTCGTCGTCATTATCATCATCATCATCATCAACATCATCATCATCATCATCATCATCATCATCAACATCATCATCATCATCATCATCATCATCGTCATGATCATCATGGGAGCCGCTCGAGAAACGGAAGGCCAAAAAGCCAAGGAGGAGGAGGAGGAGGAGGAAGCGACGGGAAAGAGAACGAGGAGGGGCCGAAAAGTCGCGGAAGAAGAGGATAAGGCCCCGCAAAAGCCCAACCAGGCCTCCAAATTCTCGGAAAAGAACCCAAGATCTACCAAAGACGGCCCAACATACCCTCTGGACACCAGGAACCTGAAGTCGCCAGACAACTGGAGCGAACCCCGACAGGGCATCTCAGGACCGTCGCCCCGACAAAAAACACAAACGCCTAACCTAAACGAACGCAGGAAAGTTCCCTAGCCATGAATTCAACTGTGCGGGGAACCTCCTTTGGGGTCGGCGGCAGAGGCGGCAGCCTTTAGATTTGAAATGATGTCGACCATGGTGTTGTACATGCGATCCACGTCCGTTTCCAGCGTGGGCATCATATGCGTCAGGGATACCGCTGCCGTCGACAGGAGCTCAAGCTGGTGCACAGTCTGCCTCAGAAACCCCTGCAACTCCTTGTCAGCCACAACACCTGCTGCGGAGGGATAGTAGCACCCAAGGTAGTCGGCCACGAACTTCCGGAGAATGAGGTAATATTTTTTGCTCTGGCGGAAATCCGCCACCGCGCCATGAGGCACGAGATGGAGAGTGCTGAGGTCCTTTCGATCGAGCTCTCTGCCTTGAGCCCTGGAAAGAAATTTCGCAAACAATGAATGCACTGAAAGATTCTTGCGTCGTTGTGTCAAAGGATTGAACTTGGGCTCCGGACTGGCGGCTCCGTGGTCGCCGTCGCCGCCACGTCGCCGTCACGTCGCCGCCCCTCGTCTGGGACTGGGTGCCGGTCTAGCGATCCGTCGTCGCCGTCGCCTCCACGACGCCGACTCGTCGCCGCCCGTCATTTGGGCCTGGGTGCCGGGTCTGGGAGCGCCGTGGTTGCCGTCGCCGCCCGTTGCCGCCTAGAGGAGAAGAATAGACTCCACCACCCTCCCAAGGTCCGACGTATCGGTCCCCCTCTGGGGAGGTGCAATTCACATTTGATTCTGACCCGCCGTCCATCCTAAATGTGAACTCGTCCCGTCCCAGCCCACTTGGTATCCGACCCCCCAGCCATCCTCAGTGAAAAAAATATGCGCGCGCATCTATTTACCACAAATCTGTCGTGTTTAAACATCTCTTGCAACGAATCAGACGAAGTGCGCACGCGCGCTTTGTCGCGCGCGCATGCCGAACTCCTCCACAATGCTCCGGTTCCGCCAGGATTTCAAGATAGAATGTCCAAGCACCATACCAAATTATCCTGTGACGTACCCAACCCTTTCTATACATGTGGCGATTCTACTCAGGAACACTCAATGCTGACTGGCATTTTGAAGGACCAGCGGTGCGCAAGAAGAACACCCAGCAGTGATTTCAGAAGAGCGCAGCAAGAAGAGGAACGGCAAACATACAAACTGGAAACACAGGGGCGTTGCAAGAAACGCATATGACGTACCTCCGAGTGATCCACGTGGGACGTACTTCCGCTGGGCCTTCCAGGAGCCCACGAAAGTGGCGACAATTGCGCAGATCGCAAGCCCCCCAGGGGGCGGCGAAGTCCCGAGGTGATCCGTGTGGGACCCACCTCCGCTGGGCCTCCCAGGGGCCCACGAAAATGGCGACAATTGCCCCTAAGGGGGCGGCGAGGTCCCGAGGTGAACCGCGTGGGACCCACCTCCGCTGGGCCTCCCAGGAGCCCACGAAAGTGGCGACAATTGCGCAGATCGCAAGCCCCCCAAGGGGCGGTGAGGTCCCGAGGTGATCCGCGTGGGACCCACCTCCGCTGGGCCTCCCGGGAGCCCACGAAAATGGCTACAGTTGCGCAGATCGCAAGCCCCCCAGGGGGCGGCGAAGTCCCGAAGTGATCCGCGTGGGACCCACCTCCGCTGGGCTTTCCAGGAGCCCGCGAAAGTGGCGACATATGCGCAGATCGCAAGCCCCCCAAGGAGCGGCGAGGTCCCGAGGTGATCCGCGTGGGATCCACCTCCGCTGGGCCTCCCAAGAGCCCACGAACGTGGCGCACAGATCGCAAGCCCCCCAAGGGGCAGCGAGGTCCCGAGGTGATCCGCGTGGGACCCACCTCCGCTGGGCCTCCCGGGAACCCACGAAAATGGCGACAATTGCGCAGATCGCAAGCCCCCCACGGGGCGGCGAGGTCCCGAGGTTATCCGCGTGGGGCCCACCTCCGCTGGGCCTCCCAAGAACCCGCGAACGTGGCGACAATTGCGCAGATCGCAAGCCCCCCACGGGGCGGCGAGGTCCCGAGGTGATCCGCGTGGGACCCACCTCCGCTGGGCCTCCCATGGGGCCCACGACAGTGGCGACAATTGCGCAGATCGCAAGCCCCCCAAGGGGCGGCGAAGTCCCGAGGTGGTCCGCGTGGGACCCACCTCCGCTGGGCCTCCCATGAGCCCGCCACAGTGGCGACACTTGCGCATATTGCAAGCCCCCCAAAGGGCGGCGAAGTCCCGAGGTGATCCGCGTGGGACCCACCTCCACTGGGCCTCCCAAGGGCCCACGAAAATGGCGACAATTGCGCAGATCGCAAGCCCCCCACGGGGCGGCGAGGTCCCGAGGTGATCCGCTTGGGACCCACCTCCGCTGGGCCTCCCATGGGGCCCACGTCAGTGGCGACAATTGCGCAGATCGCAAGCCCCCCAAGGGGCGGCGAGGTCCCGAGGTGGTCCGCGTGGGACCCACCTCTGCTCGGCTTCCCAGGAGCCCGCGAAAGTGGTGACAATTGCGCAGATCGCAAGCCTCCCAAGGGGCGGTGAGGTCCCAAGGTGATCCGCGTGGGACCCACCTCCGCTGGGCCTCCCAGGAGCCCGCGAAAATGGCGACAATTGCGCAGATCGCAAGCCCCCCACGGGGCGGCGGGGTCCCGAGGTGATCCGCGTGGGACCCACCTCCGCTGGGCCTCCCAGGAGCCCGCGAACGTGGCGACAATTGCGCAGATCGCAAACGGCATGAGAGAAGAGGAAAAGGGAACACAGGAGACAGGAGAGGAGGATGGGAGGAGCGGGGGGAGGAAAAGGAATGACGGGGCGACCACACTGCTCTATTCAAAACTAGTTCCCCACGCAGGAGCGTTGGGGAAAACACCGCAAGGTTTCGCAAAACGGATTTTCAAGACAGCTTGCGCGCTTGCTTGTGCGAAGTCTCAAACAAACCGTATTGACGACTTCCAAAACATGCTACCAAGCGGGTTTCGGGCGCGCGCATGTCGAAATCGTTCGAACGTGTTTGCGCGCTCGCCGTCGCGAGAACCCTCTGCAACAACAAAGCACGCACACGCAGAGTGCGCGCGCGCGTCGTCGCGCGCGCATGCCGAAATCAGCCCAAAAACCTTCGGCGCCGTAGCGGTATCAAAACCGAGTGTCGAACGCACATATAACAACCAAACACATGGTTTCGCAAAGTCGGTTTGCCTGAAAACGTGCGCTCGCGGTCTTGCGATTTGGTTTTATATGAAAAGCCTAGGTCTTCAACGTGTTCGTGGACTTCTACCAAACGGGCCTCTGGCGCCGCATGCCGGAATCATTCAAACGCCCTTGCGCGCGTGCTGGGGGGGCACGATCGCCCTCAAATGCTACCACGCGGCTACTCTCGCGCGATGGCCGCGCGCGCATGTCGAACTCCTTCCAAAACCTTCATCACCGACGCGAGGACGCCGTCATCGTCGTTGGCGTGATCAACGCCGGCGCCATCATTGGCCTTGCCGTCGTCGTTGTCAACGTCGCCACCATCGCTGCTATCATCATTGCGTCTACCGACTCGCCCGCTCCGCCCAAGTCACCGACTCGCACGGCAGTGCCCGCTAGGGCGTGCCCAGCGGTCAGCGCCACCGCGGCCGCATCGGTCGCGCCAAACTAGCTGGTCGTTGCGCGCGCGTGCTTGGGTTGGCGCGGCCGCAGAGATGCACTAGCCAACGCCAGACATACATCGCAATCGCCATCGCATGGGCTTTGCAAACCAAGTTGCGGGTGGGTGGGTGGGATGCTTGCGACAGCATGGGATGCGTCAGCCCGTTTGTTACAATCAACTGCGCCACATAGGTTGCACCACGCATCCGCCACCGTCCCTGGAGGCGCGAGGTGGAGTTACCCCCCGGATCTAATGTTCCGCTGGACCCAACAGCAACCTTCCAAACTGGCGACAGCGTCGCAGATCGCAGCCACCCCCCACCCGGGACGGCGAGGTCTCGCTCAGGTCCCCGCGGTGCCTCACTCCGCTGGACCCAACAACAGCCCTCGAAAGTGGCGACACTGTCGCAGATCGCAGCCCCCCAGGGACGGCGAGGTCTCGCTCAGGTCCCCGCGGTGCCTCACTCCGCTGGACCCACCAGCAGCCCTCGAAAGTGGCGACAGTGTCGCAGATCGCAGCCCCCCAGGAACGGCGAGGTCTCGCTCAGGTCCCCGCGGTGCCTCACTCCGCTGGCCCTACCAGCAGCCCTCGAAAGTGGCGACAGCGTCGCAGATCGCAGCCCCGCAGGGACGGCGAGGTCTCGCTCAGGTCCCCGCGGTGCCTCACTCCGCTGGACGTCACAGATCGCACCCCCCTGGCAAGATGCACGCACCAGAAGTACCGCAGCCAGGATGCCCACACACACGCACGAGGTACGCCCAAGGCAAGAGGAGACAAGACAGAAGCGGGAGACGGGAGGAGGAGGAGAAAGACAGGAGACCGTAGAGCTCTATTCAAAACGAATACCCAACCAAGGAAGCTTGGGAAGCCCACGACGTGCACACGCGCGCGTCGTCGCGCGCGCATGCCGAAATTCTTCAGACACCTGCGGTTCCGGAAAAATGTCAAAATCGAGTGTTCAAAGAACAAACAGAAACACAGGGTTTCGCAACACGGGTTGTCACAAAAAGCTTGCGCGCGCTCTTGCGAATTCTTAAGAAAACTATAGGTTTTCCAACGTTTTCAGGACATGCTACCAAACGGGCTTCGCGCGCGCATGTCGAAATCGTTGGAACGCCCTTGCGCGCGTGCCGTCGCGAGACTCCTCTGCAAAAACAGGACGAAGTGCGCGCGCGCTTCGTCGCGCAGATTCGGGAAGATGTCAAAATCGAATGTCCAAGAAAACAACATACAAAAACAAATGGTTTCGCAACACGGAATGTTCAGCAAAAGCGTGCGAGCGCGCGCTCTTGCGTCGTTGTCGTCGTCGCCGTCCTCCCTTCTCCCTCGTCGTCGTCGTCGTCGCCGTCGACGTCCTCTGTTTTTCCTCGTCGTCGTCGTCGTCGTCCTATTTAGCGTCGTCGTCGTCTCTGTCGTCGTTGTCGCCGTGGTCGTCCTTCGTCCTCCCTCGTCGTCGTCGTCATCCGTCGTCGGCGTCTCGTCGTCGTCCCTCCTATTTCGTCGCCGTCGTCGTCGCCGTCGTCGTCCCTCCTGCCTCGTCGTTGTCGTCGTCGGCGTCGCCGTCCTCTCTCCTTCTTGGTCGTTCGCGTCGTCGCCGTCCTCCCTCTTCCCTCGTCGTTGTCGTCGTTGTCGCCGTCGTCGTCGTCGTCGTCGTCCTCCCTCCTCCCTCGTCGTCGTCGTCGTCGTCGTCGTCGTCGCCGTCGTC